CAGTTCACAATGTACAGGTCAGCGCTGACAAATCATCTGTCAAGTAAAATGAATTTTCCTTGTTGACCTTGAGGTTATAGTTATTAAAGATACAGCACTTACCCAGTGGTAATGTAGAGTTATAATCAATATTGGTATAAAAATCAGAAAATAACTGTGAGGATGATTTTTCCTAGTCACTGAGGGTTTTTCCATTAGCTTGATTAGCTGTGATCTGAGAGCTATTTTTGTGAGTTCTGAGCCACACATAAGCAATGGAATGTAACCTTTAGATCATAGATACTATACTAGATAGTGTTACTTAAATTCAAGCTGTCCCTGTTGATTTTGTTTTGTTTCTGTATATGCCATGAACAATGTCTCAAAAAGCACTTTCAGAGAAATATTCAGCATCACCAAATATTATCGTCCACAGTACCATCATCCAAAGAGCTAGGCTGCTGACAGAAGTTGTGCATTTTATGCAAGGCATCCATATTTTCAGAGTTTTTTATAAAAAAGATAATTTAAAATCTCTAAGCCTTCAGAGTTGCCTTAAAATATAACTGTAATGAGTAAGGTAAACCAGAATCCTGCACACCTTTCTTGGAACCTAGTATACTTCTCCCATAATAAACTTTAATTATAGTGGTCTGCTGGATGTTTGGCATATTTTTTCTCATACAACATCCTGTTCCTAGCTATCCTTATCTCCACTCCAGAATACGTGCATTTGGTTAGTTTATTCGCTAGAACACCCTGCTATGCTGCCACCCAACACTGTCACACAAGTTCTGTCACAGTGTAGACAGGTAACTTTTCTATCTGCCTGAAATCATAAATATAAGGAGAAAAATTATATCCCATTTAGCTTTATGTAAGGCTGGAAGCTTTAATAACAACAACAAAAAAAGTTTTCATTACCTACTCCAGCATCAATTACTTCTCCAGCTTTACTAAACTTACCTGCCAGCTTACCTAAATGATTCATTCTTTCATATTCTCTACTCAGAAAATTTTTGGTCACTACTAGTTGCTACTAAAATCCTCCACTTTTTGATTCCTTAATACCAGAAGTGTTTAGCAATTTTATGTATCAAAAAAGAATTGTTTAAAATAATTTGTTCATAATGACTGGGGGAACATCTCCTCTACAAGTAATCACTGCAGTTTCTTCTCCTTAGTCAAAAAAAAAAGAAAAATCAAGAAAAATTAATATTGTTAACAGCAGAAAAAATAAAATTGAGAGGCCCTTAAATTACTTAGCATTTAGAGCAAATCTGCCTTAAAGCATGTTTGAAATCATGTGCCCTCTGATATCACAGATTCAGTCAATTCCAAACTCCACAATAAACATATTCTGAATCCCATTGGGAACAAGATGTCTTGTAGAAATTATCGTATAGCATACCAGATGGCATCTTTCTTGCAGATAGCACTTCAGTGTGCTTCTTCTGTTGCCTTGGAGAAGAAAGAGCTCAGTACTGCTGTCTCTGTAAGAGACTTAAGTGTCAGTTCTCCCGTGTAGGACTGGGTACATATTTTTTGACTCTGGTCTCACAGAAGGATTATCATGGAATTTATGTCCTTTGAAATCACAGGAAAGCATGGTAGTGTGTAAATATGTTGAGGTGAGACCATCTCACCATCTGCTTGGTGTTTTCAATGTCAGCAGCAGCTTCAGGCATAGGCAAAGTGTAGGCACTGCCTGCAGCAGCCCACTGGTGGGACTGGCACTGATTCATAGACTAAAAAATCAAGAGACAGCCCTTTAGTCTCAAAGCAGGAGCATCTGCTCCAGGTTCCCATTGCACTGGCTCAGAAAAACTGCCCAAGAACCCCCCTGAGGTAAAACACCTGAACACCTGATCTGGAGATCTTAAAGAGCTGCAAGTTCCCTAATCCAAACAGCCCTGGCTCTATTTTGTGCCTGCCTTTGCCTTTTGGCATTTGGCGGGAGCAGGAGGGAAGAAAAGCCTTTTAGATAACAGGATACTTTAGCAATGAGACAATAGTCAGGGGTGAGGACTAGGCAGCAAGCTGACTGTTTCTCCTCACTTTCTTTCCCCTTGCTGAGCAACCTTATGTTGCGTTGATGTGTTCAGACGTGTAGTTACATGGCAAAGGACAGAGTTGGAGGAGAGTGCACGGTGGGACCAGCAGTGCTGTAATCATCCAGGGCTGGAGCCATGGAGACAGTTAGACACAGTACCAACAGCTACATGAGGAAATGTGTCTGGGGAGCCACTCAGCAGCTGAATTTTGCCTACACTGTTGCTAGGCATTGAGCCAAACACTCATCACTGGCAGCATAGCTTCCATGCTGTTTATAGTAAGGTAAGGGAGAAGCAGTTTGACCATGAAACTAGTATATTGATTATTGTGTGCGCCTTTTTGTGGGCAGCAAATTTTTGGCATTGCGGAACACAATGCAGACACATTTGTGTCTCTGCATTTATAGGAAATACAGGAGCCAGTCATGAATAATCCATTCAAAGGGATTATGCTTCACTAGATCTCTTTCTGATATCAATTTTTATGCTTACAGGGAAAAGGGGAAGATGGAATCAGGAATCCTTTTCAAAGAACTTTATTAATTCTCAGTCAAGAAAAATTCATAGAGGATAGAACCCTCACCTTGTTTAAAATAACTTTGTTCTCAATATGCCCTCTGAAGATCTTGCCCAGCCTTTTATCTTGCCTACTATGGGAAAGTCCCCTGTATTTCAACTCAGCATAGCCTACCCTTCTGCATGCCTGGGCACAGTCCTGAAGGGATTATGATCTGTCTATATACAAATATATTGATTCATAGTAGAGAAAACTTTTAAAAATAGGGATAATTTGCAGACATGTGTGAACAAATGCATTTCTATCTCCATGAGATCTAGATTTCCTATCAGTTTGTCATACCTACTTTCACTGAGAAGAAATTAATGATCCTTCCATTTGTTTGAAGTACATTTAGCAATTGGAATTCTCAAAGTTTCTTCAGCAACTGCAGGTTTACCAGTGCCTGGTGAGTGTTCAGTATTCTTTTTAAAGACGTCATGAACCTTTCATACTTTCTGTAGTAAATTTATCAAGTCAGTAAGAATACCTGGAATGGAATAACAGAAGATCCTATAAATGATCTTAGGCAACCTTCCAACTTCATGAAAGATCTTCTGTGCTCAACTAAAATTATTCTTCATAATTATTATGGACTTCAGTTTGAATGAGATGTTTCACAAATCCAGTCAGCTGTCTCCAAGTGAAAGGTCATCCAGTTTTAGTCCAAGGACTAGTCAGATTGGAGATGAAACTCTTAAAATATTGTTAATTCCATTTATTTAGAATCTGTTCCGTGACTGCTCAGGGACCTTCTGTGTGGCACTGGAAGAGACATTGTATTATAACGTGTTGGTCAGACTGTAGGTTTAGATTTCTATGAAACAATTATCTGCCATAGTACCATCAGTCCCATATTATCCCCTTGACAAAAACCTATAATTTCCTCGTGCTGGAATTAAATTCCTCCTTAGAGATGGTCATTGCTCGAGATTCACAATGGATAAGGAAAACAAAAAAGTAGTTAATGTGCTCGATAAATGAAGCACCACTGATAGGATTCCTTCTAGAATTATACCCTGAATATACCTATTTCCTGCCTTTTTTTGCTAAGTCCTTTCATATGGTTATGAAAAACTAAAGTTTAGTAAACATTTCTTTCAGAACAAAGGAATAAAACATTTCCATCTCAAGAGAAACTGTCATAAAGATGTAATGCAGATAGAAAATACACCATGAGGTATTTAGTTTCTTATGCAGAAAATGAATTTTCCGCTCATTCAAAATTCATAACCTTTTTTTTTTCCAGTTATAGTTCATAAAATTTAAAGCTTCTCTAGAAATCATGCAAATCTTGTATGTCTACTTGCTATCATTCACATTTTTGTAAGAAAGGGTATAAACTTACCATTTTATTCTTTTAATTATTCATTTGAAATGGTGACCTTTTCAGTTTGAATTATTATATGTTGGCATGAAGGTTTTCTTGTGTCTTATAATATTTTACAGTTGGAGAAATCATGCAGATAATCTAATTACTTTGACTAAAATTGTTGTGCCTTTTATGTCTTTTGCTGTACCATACGAGAGAAACTGTGAAATATATTAATTATTGATTCATTAAAGGGTTTTGCTATTATATAAGCAGAGATGCAGACCACTACCTATCTTACATTAAAGGGGGAAAGGGGAAGGCATAGTAAACCATGCCATGGGCTATGCTTTAAGTATTGCATTTCTTAATGTCTTGTGAAATGTAAAAATCTACAACAAATAGATATGTAAAGCGTAACTGGTATGAAGATTCTATTCAGATTTAAGTGCTCTAGGTTGCTTTTGAATCTTGCTATTTTCTGCATTTGTTTTGACTGCTCTCATCATTCAAGATTGACGCTTGGATGGGTGTGTAGGAGGAAGCAGCAGCAGCAGGCTTACAGCTTGCAGACAAAAAAAAAAATCTGCCTTATCTGATGGCTATTATTGAAAATGCGAGGTGTAGCCTAGGCTGGGTAATGAAGGGGAGCGAGCGAGGGGGAGCAAGAAGCATGGAGCTGCATACTGATGAGTGTAGGAGTACTTGATAAAAAGAATTCTTGCTGCTGGCAGTGCATTGCTCATTGTGGAGTATTCCAACAATCACATATAACGGAGAGCAGCTTAGCTGACAGCTTGATATGCTTTTTTTTTTTTTTTCCCCTACTGTATGACGTACTGGTCTGTAGTAAAGATTAATAACCAAGAAATGTAGAGCTGCGATCAGATCTTACGTTATATACTGCCCTGAAAACTATGTTTTACTTCTGACTTTTCTGTTTGCTGAAAACATTAATCTGTCAAGCTGGCGGGCTCGTTTGATACCAACTTTTCCAGGAACACGATGTGGCAATGCCACCTCTCAGCCCAGGACTACCGCTATTATCCAGTGGATGGTTATTCGTTGCTTAAACGCCTCCCTCTTCACCCTCCTACAGGACCCCGATGCCCTGTCCAGACAGTGGGACAATGGTTGGAAAATATTGGGCTACCTCAGTATGAAAACCACTTGCTGGCTAATGGATTTGACAATGTGCAATTCATGGTAAGAAATCTTCCGTGCATAGCTGTGTATATACACTGTAGCTGCCTTTTTTGTCTGTCTCTTATGTGCTCATAAGAACCTTAGAGATATTCTGCATTGCACTAAGATCTGTTTAGTGTTTCACTTTTCTATGTGTAGCTGAATTAATATACAAGCTGCCTTTTTATAAACTTCCAGACTGTACACATTACAAAAGAGTTTAGCCTGAAATTTGGTAAAATAAAAACTGAGTATTAATGTTCTTTCTCTCCCTCATCGATCCTCCGATTAAAGAAGAAAAATGCACAGTTCTTTTAATCCATTGCAGGATTTTCATAGTATGAAAAAGCTGCAAACACCCCTTTCTGCAGTACATCACATTCTTACTTTTATTTCAGCATTAACTTGTAATGATAATTAAAGAACATGCAATGCCATTTTTGCCTTGAGAGGTATTTTAATAACAGAAAATTATTTAATGAAATGTGCTCTCTCTGCAAGTAATTCTGGATGTCTCAGTTAAATATTTTTGCATCTCAGATAATCAGGCTATGGGATTCACTTGTTGAAACCTATGCCCTCGGAGAAAAAGTAATGCATTCCTATTAATTGTTCCATTTTCATGTTTTAACTCTCGGCATTTATCAGGAATGTTTGAATGAAATGAAATTTTAGTTAGGTCAGGATTTACAGTATCACCATGTGGTGTAAAGTAACAGACCTGTCATGCACAAACTTTCCATTGAAATGAATATTGACAGTAAAGACAGAAGCTTACTTGTACAGCTGTTATATAATCACTTTTCTACCTGCTTCAGTATTCCTTCTTCTTGAGGCTCGTCCAAAAGTCCTGACTCCATTACTTAAAAAGTATCAGAGATTAAAACATATTTTAAAATGTCTTTGAAATATATTTTAAGTACCCATATGTATCTTGGAACAATTCTAACTTTTCATAACTTTTATCTGCCATATAAGAAGCAGAAGTGAAATGACATGAATATTATAGCAATAAAATCATCACATGAGTTGTGTCCTTTCTCTTTAAATTATTTTGCCAACATCATTATATGCTTTTGGAATACTGACCAAAAAAATTAAGGAACATCTCTGCCATTTTCACATTATAATAGTGTAGATGTTTCTTCCTGTTTTTACATGGCTGACATGTGATCATTTGCTTAGGTCAGTAAAAATCATTGTAATATGTACCTTTAAATATTCTTTAAAACAAATCTGTGCTGTCTGCCCAGCAATATGGAGGGAAAAAGTGTATCATGCTGCAGTTTCCCAAAATGTAACATATTCTTATATATGTTGTAGCATTCGTTACATAAGTAGGTGATCATTTAGTCTTAAAGAGGTTACAAAAGGAAACTGTTCACAGGAGGCTGTAGGTGGCATAACAAATGCAGAGGGGTACACTTACCACTGGTAAATTATGAGCACCAGAGAAGTCAAATAACGGCCCTGGAGGGCTTTTCAATTGTACCCTGGCTCTGGAAGGGCCTGAAACATGTCCTCAGGGAATTTATATGACTTTCCTACATCTCTTATTACTGTACGTATGTAAACATACAAATTACATACAAGATTTTCCTATGCAATATACAAACCAAACTTCTAATGTATTAGGCAGATTAACACTGTTTCTGGTTTTCTGTGTTTTCTGGTAATTTTAAGCTTTTTTGATATATTACAGATAAAATACATAATTACTCTTAATATTAGCTGAGGTAGCATGAATTGAATGGAAGATTAGACTTATAAATCCAATAACAATAAAAGAGCTGTGAAATTGTGTAGTAATAAAAAAAATATATAATTTCAATAGTTTTATAATTTCCAATTTATTGATTTCACTATTCATCACACTTTTACATCTTTTGGTTTTTGTCTACCGGAAATCAAATATTTCCTATATTTTATTGGAAATAAACCACCGATTTCTTTTTATATTACTCCTTTGAGTACATCAGCATTATGTAAGAAAAGCCTCTCTTGAAAAATTTAAATGAGTGTTTTAAAAGCTATTTTTCATCCTATCCAAAATATTAAAGGGAAAATTAAACTTAGAAAGTATATAGAAAAATGAGAGGAGAAACATCTCTTATGCTGAGGAAAATTCAGATGATTCCAAACTTAGTATGTTGTATTCTTCCTTAATATGACAGAACAGCTTTACCTATATTACAGCGGTTTACATATTAAAGTAGAGCTTAAAATCTTATTAACTCAAATGTTTCAGATAGGTTAGCCGTTTTGCATTGAAGAAATCCAATAGTTCAATGCAGTAAAAATCAGTTAAGATGTATTTTTTATTCATTCTGTACTATATTCCTGCTTTTGTTTTTTCTGGAAGCACATTCTGACCTGCATTTATCCATTCTGTTGCCTAAGCAACAACCATCACACTCCTATTAAGTATGATTTAGTAGTACAGGTCTTACTAGCTGTTCAGAACAGAAGAGGGAATATCACAATGTTATAATTAATGTCCATGGAATAACATACATCTGAGAACAAATATATCCCATACATACTATTCTCAACAGCAAAATTCTATTAATTAAATTAGCATTTTAATAAAAAGGTAATTTTCTGATAAAAAGATTTCATGGTTAATCGTTCATTAGATCATGGAAATTAACTCCTTGTGTTTAGTCTCCCTTGGGCATTAGTAAAGTTATTCACTAGACTGTAGTTGGAATTAGGAAGATTTGTTTAGTTTACCTGAAGTGTATGGACTTTATATGAAGAAACAGCTGGATTCCTATTAACTTTACAGTATAAATATCTTTCAGTACTTTATCAATGTGTATGTTTTAAAAATGCATTGAAACATATTATTTTAAAAATTAGCGTTTATTCATTAAATACTTTATTTCTACTTACGGCATGTTTGCGCACATAGCAAGTGCAGCTCCTACCCACTGTTAGTGTCGTGCAGGAATGACACTTCCATAATATTTAGTAGGCCCCAGACAGATTCATTCCCAAGATGTGGTTCACATGTGCTTGAATATGTACATGAATACACAATCATCATTAACTTTGGTTATTTGTTGTGTAATAGGCTGCAGTGTCCTTCAGATGTAAAAATTTGTAGTGACTTTGTGCAGATACTCTGTATTTGAAGATGTGGATGATACTGCAGTTTCTTAACAAAGGCTATTTTGCAGGTAAACCAATTCCAAAGTGCAAGAAAACAATTAAACAGGTCATAAATCACAGTATATGAACTAGATTTAAACAATAACAAAACTTATGCATCTTTTTGATGCATAGGTACAATGGATATCCCTGGGAAAAGCTTTAATTTTAGGCAGACTTGCAGGCCTACATCACTTAGTATGCTGAGGGGAAAAATAAAAGTTGACTTGCAGAGAAACAGATGCAAATATATAAATGTGTGAGGTCACTAAAAGCTCTCATGCAGTTTTCTGCAACTGTGAAACTTCATCAAAGACTCCATTCTGGGTTCACAGAGATAAAAGCAGTTCAATCAAATCACTGCCCAGTGGGGACTAGTTCTGATTAAGGACTTTATATGACTATCTATTTGTAGGATGTCCTAATCATCTAAGATATTCTGAAGTTTTATCGCTTATTATTGAAGTTTGATGAAAAAAATGTCTCTTAAAAAGATTCATTAAACACTCTATGACAGAAACCAGCATTCAAAGTAAGTTAACAGATAAATATGAAGCATTTTATTATATTTTTGACATTCTAAAGCCTGATGCATAAGATAGCGTGTTCACTATCAACAGTTTATATTTACATTACTCTCTAGGCTTTCATTGCTACTTTTAAAAGACATTCGTCTCTACCCCTCCAAGTACTTATGTGGCTTGCATTGCCTAATGGTCTAAGTGTTGCATAAGTGGTTTGCTTTTGGCTTTGGTTTTTTTTTTAAGTTCGCTCTTTTTCACTGTTGGAAAACTGAGACATAGAGTGACAGCAGGGTGGGATTTAAAACTCATACATTTGGTACAAGAGGCACTAATTCGCAGGATACCTACTGACATAATGTTTAACAGATCAAGTTAATTGCTTAAATGTAGGTGTCTAGTACCAATTCAAATACCACAGGGAATCCAGGAGATCTAGACAAGGCTGACAATATTGCTGAGGACCAGGGACAGCCAGGCCCTTCATGATTAGCAGCTCAAGTTCAGGTGTGATATCACCGAGCTCCTCAGGCACCTGTAGTGTCCTTATGCTTTTCCAGCTGAAATGAATCTTGAATTACACAGTTTGTGACATGTCTAGAAACTGAACATGGATGTCTTGAGCTTCCATTTATTTGTATATGCCTTTCTTTACCTTCTAATAATTTTCTGTATTGTATTCATCCTATGAACTTACCTGCAGAAGTATTGACCAGGTATCTCACTGGTAGGCATGGTCTACCTTCTCAATTCCCCTTAGCTGACTGCTTTGGATCTAGTTTTGAGTTAAGTTTTGTCTTTTCTTTCTCCCTTCCTCACTCTTTCTTTCTTCCTTTGCTTTTTTTCTTTAATTTTTTTTTACTTGTTCTGGAGGTTGATTAGCAGAAGTTTATCTGAAGACTCTCTTCTCTCAGGTGTCATTCCTAGGAATTGCTCCTCTGGAATACACAGTAATTCTTCTTGCCTTTAATCTCTCTTGAGGATCTTAAACTCAGTATCAAGTATAGAAGACAGAAGCAATTTTATTTCCGTAGAGTGAAACATACCTAAAAGAAAATCTCTATATGCATTAGCTCCAAGTCCTGCAGTTGTGGAGGTCATCAGATCTTTTGACCAAAAATATCTAGGGCAGAGATTGATGATTTAGGCATTAGATGAAAGCTAAAAAAGTCCCTGTCAGTTTCCCAACACCTTTCTTAAATTAACTGTGTGGCTAGTGATGAAAAAGAGGAATATTTTACATAAGGCTTCTAGTCTGTAGTGACTTTCGTGTCTTCCAGAAGCCAACTCCTAACAAGCAGAGCAACCTCTGCAGCATCCAAGCTTTCAGCTCTCCAGGCTCATAAT